GCAGAGAAAGCAACCTGGGGATTCCTCTAGTGTCATTCCTTCCGCCTTCTGGCAGAAGCTGGAATTCTTCTATAAAGAACTTGTCCCCATTAGCAATCTGATTATGCTAAATACAGTCCAGATAGGAAAGGCAGGATAAATAGTTGAACAAAATGAAGTTTATGGAGATAGATTTCTTCCTTCGACTATCAAACCCCGTAACTATTTATTTCTACTTTGCAGTGTACTGTCTTCAGGTGTCTTACTGCCTAAAGACAACTTAATTCTGCTCTTTATATGCTCCTAGAATGTTCTAGTGTTTGTTTTCTAAATGGTACTCTACAGGTTGTGCTTAGTGAGGGATTGAAAAATAGTAGAACATCTTTAGAAGCTTTTTTGCCTCAATCTTTCTGTGTTCAGTTAGCAGAGGTGAGGGCTGGATAGTGGGCACATTTGGAATGTGGTGGGGGGAGGGTTCCTTGTGCTAGTCTCTCTCCTCTTGTACCTGTTTGAAATTCTCCATAATGAAAACACTGAAAGTAATAACAGAAAAATAAATCTCCGTTCCCAACTCTAGGTAACTCCTGATTGGCTCTTGTATTCATTTCCACACCTGACTGTTGGCAAAGCCTTCGTGTGATAACTTTTCCCTGAGGTTTCCATCATCTTGGTACCATGGGGCACCTGGCTGGCTCAGTCAGTGGAGCATTTGACTCTTGATCTCGGGGTTGTAAGTTTGAGCCCCATGGTGGGTGTAGATATTACCTAAAATCTTTAAAAATATATATATATATATCAACACTTTCTGTATTGCTCAGACCCTTCCATTGGTATATAGACTTTGGGGACCTTGAGTGTCCTCCTTCTTCCCAGTGATTTTTCTGGATATTACTGAGCATCTCTTTCCCTTCTCTGGAAGGTCAGATCAGATGTCCTCCTAATAAGCACATACGTGTCCCACAAACTTCAGCTGAATACTTTTCTCTCCTGCCATTTTCAGTTTAAAGCCCTGTTGGTCAGACCAGCAGGCCTTGAAGTCATCTTGTTCAGCCCCACGCTGGGGGCTCAGCCTGCAGGATAATACACCACAGTGGTTCTGAAGCACAACACCCTGACTTCATGAATATTCCTGGACACCAGTAGTTTCGAACAGAAGTTGTAGAATTGTACCTCTCACTAGCAAAGTAAAAATGAATTTATTTTTAACATTTGGCTTATGGGATGAGGGCAAGAGAAATTTCTGGGTGGTCTGAAAAATTAGGCAAAGGACAGAGTCTGCTGTGAAGGTTCTCGCAGAAAGTGGTTTTTCCAAGAGAGGGTTCACGTTGTCTAGCAAGAGGGGAGAAAACCTTGTATGCCGAGAAGTGCCTGTTACCCCAAGGCACTGCGAGGCTGCTGTTGGCTCCACGAGAATACTCAGCACGCCAAGTGTAATACATATTTTAATCCATAAATCCCTCAAATGCACCCAAAAGCCACAGACTTAGAAAACACGGAAGAGGAAGATTAAATGTCCCAGAAGCAGCTAATATAACAGAAGCAGAATGATTGGGAGAGAAATACTTTTTCTGTTTCCTCCTTGTCTCGGTGTCTGGAAGGTTACCTGGATCTCCTTTTCATTTGCTATTGGCATTCTTTTCATGACCTTCCTTTTCTTGCCCTGAGACTGTCCTCTTTCTTTCTGGTCCTTGTTTGTCATTCCCAGCTTCTGTATCTGCCTGCCTGCTGGACGAGCTTCTCTCCCTGCTTTTCCTTCCTGTTCTCCCATCGCTGTACCAGTACACACGACGCCTGTTTTTCTTCGTATAATAGTGGCTTGTCTTAGACTTCAGTCCCTGGTGTAAATTCTTTCTCAAGCCTGCACATAAGACTTTAAAGGACTTCCCTCCTGCCTGCCACCCCTAGGGACACCTGGAGATAACCCTTGATGGCTCTTTAAAAACTGCAGAGGGGCGCCTGGGTGGCTCAGTCGGTTAAGCGTCCGACTTCAGCTCAGGTCACGATCTCACGGTCTGTGAGTTCGAGCCCCGTGTCGGGCTCTGGGCTGACCGGGAGCCTGCTTCGGATTCTGTGTCTCCCTCTCTCTCTGCCCCTTCCCCACTCATGCTCTGTCTCTCTCTGTCTCAAAAATAAATAAAAACATTAAAAAAATTATAAAAAATAAAAAAAATAAAAACTGCAGAGTATTACTTAGGTAATATAATTTATGATTTCATTTCTTATCTATTCCTAGCTTTTCCAGTCACAGTCTTCTGGATCCCCATTCAAGCCAGCATTTTCCTGGTACCTGTAGCTAGCGTTCACATCCATAAACTACAGAAAGCATTACATTGTAAATTTTTCCTTTGGGTTTTAAGAATCCTTTCTCTTCCACCACATGTGTTGATTTGATAAATTTATTTGTTTAGTTCTCAATTTCTCCCTGACAACCATCAATATTTGTCTCCCCACTAAAGATATTTCCATGACCAACTTGGAAGGCCTTTGGGCTGAAAGATTCAGTTACAGCAAACAACAATTCCCAGAGGTTTCCCAGATTGTGAGGGCAAATGAAAGGCCCATTCTTCCCCAGGCCGTCTGTCCTGCTCTATCTTGTCGGGCTGGGGCGGGGTGGGGGAAGGGCAGTCTGGTTCCGGGTGACCGTGGCCAGGCCTGTAACCCTGTGCTCTGCTAGGCTTGAGCCCATGCTGTTATTATCCGGAGGGCTTTACACATTTATCAGAGTGATGACGTCATATCGTACTGTCCCTCACCGTGTATTTAACATTCTTGCTATTGATCAGTGGTTTAGCCTGGATTATTTCTTCACCGATGCGCTGAGTCGCCAGCCATGTCATAGATGCCAGGGTGCCGTTCCAGTGCCAGTTCTGACCATCGCCGCATTTCGGAAAGGAAGCTGCCTGCCAGTCCATCTGCCCTGATTACATGGCTCTTATCTCTAATCTTTACATCTTTGAAGGCCTTTGGCAAATGATGTGCTTCCTGGCAGGAGCACATCACTGCCGAAAGGAGATCTGTGCTGTCTCTGCTTTCCTTTCTGTTTGCTGAGAGCTTTAGTCTAACGTCCGTGACGCCACCAGACTTCATCAGACCCCTCATTCGAAGTCATCGTCAAAAAGTAGCTGGCTTTCATTGTACGCCTACTGTGTGCCAGGCACCGTGCCAGACTTCACCGAAGTCAGCACAAATAGTCCTCGACAGCCCTGTGAGATTAGTAACTGCCATTTTACGTTTGAAGCAAGCAAGGTTCACAAGCCATTCGATGGCAGACCCAGGAGTCACATGTAGTCCTTCTGATTGGCACGCCTTTAAAGGAAATAAAATAGCTTATTTGACCCTCACACAGAGTGCACGGGAACTACCGATACAGCATTTGGCTACGCTGCCTTAAGGGTCTTGTTGTGAAAATCCTGCTGCACTTGGGAACAGAGTGAAAGGCTTCAAGGCCTTCAGTCTGCGGAGGCCAAGGCTGATAGGAATGTAACCAAGTTCCTGAAAATCACGAGGAACGAGATCTGGAGTCATATTTAATTAGTAAGCATCTACTGTGTTGAAGCTTCCCAGTATTTTAAAGACAGCAGATTATACAGAGAACAACAACTACTTGGAAACAGGTTGGCACAGAGCCGGTGCCAAATGGTGGAGGGAATAAAATCACAGGAAGGAAAGAACCTGATGGGCCATTCTCTCTGTGGTATCTCCATGAAATGTTTGGTGGAAGAATTGGACTTACACTGGCAGGGGATCATTCTAGGTAGAGAGATCTGTCTGAGCAAATACATGTGATGTTAGGGTACACTAAGGGGACAGGTATGGTTGTAATGAAGAGAGAATGTAGAGTAATTTGTGGGAAAGGCTGATGTAATCCTTCAAACTAGTAGCTCTTTGGCTGTTATTTTTCCCATAATAGACAGCCATCAAAGTCCTTTGTGCGTGCGTGCGCGTGCATGCGTGTTTTGGGGGAGTGGGGGGAGTTGGGATGGCCGTTGCCAAACAATATTTCAAGAAGATTTAGCTGTGATAATGTAGATGTATTCCTCAAATCACAGAATACCAAAAGAGTTAGTGTTGAGAAAAGTAAATGAATCCCCCTAAGTAAATAAATTGCATACATACACATACACACGTGCACATGTGTGTGTGTTCCATTATACAGTAGGTAAGTGATGGAACTCATTACTTCAGGAGAGGTCAGGAATAGAGTAGGTCAGCTCATGAATGATAAATTCAGAGTGTGCAAGGCTATGACCCTAACCTTTAAAGTTACTCTCGTTGGCGCCCATGGTCTACCACAAAGCCTCCCCTCATTCCCCCATCAGCGACAGACCACTACAAACCTCAAGGCCTCTTGTTTTGCAGAAAATAGGGCCAAGCCCCTAAACGTGAGCAAATGATCACATAGATGACAAGACCAGACCAGACTTATGATTAGATAGCATTAGCTGCTACCCATGTAATATGATTTGAGAGGCTCAAAGACAAATGTCTGTCCAAAAGTGTATTCCCCTGTCACCCATCATGCCTTAATCTTAAATCCCACTACTAGAGGTAGATTATTTTGAGTCTTGAAAGGAATTGGGCTGAGCGGAACAGCTGAGAGTCCCCCATTACTACACCTATGAAATTAAAAGAAATTTTTTTTGGTAATGTTTATTTATATTTGAGAGAGAGAGAGAGACAGAGACAGAGTGCAAGTGGGAAAGGGGCAGAGAGAGAGGGAGACAGAATCCGAAGCGGGCTCCAGGCTCTGGGCTGCCAGCACAGAGCTTGACACGGGGCCCAAACTCAGGAGCCGCGAGATCATGACCTGAGCCGAAGTCGCACGCTTAACTGACAGCCACCCGTGCGCCCCTGCACCTATGAAATTTTGAAGTATAAATACCCTCTTAAGCAGTTGTAGTCTTTGATATTTATCCTTGCATATGTGAGAAATTGCAATACATTAAGTACAATAGCAAAAGATTGGAAAGCCAAGACGTGCATCATTAGAGCACTGGTGAATCAAAATCAAGCGCCTCCAGATCCTTTTGTAGTACATGAGCATGATGATCGGGTGTTCGCACTGTTGTGTGACATGTGCCTCCCTCAAACCTTGTTGCGACGTTGGCACGCTACCCGTCTGACGTGAAACAAAAATTAAGCACCTTCATACAAACGGAATACTCTGCAGCCGTTCTCTTTGTGTTGTAAGTAAAGATCTCCAAAAAAGCAAGGTGCAGAAGAGTATGAACGTATGCAGTGTTCGAATGGGGAAAATACCCAGACACACGTATACACATCTCCAAATGCACAGTCTTGGGTAGGGTAGACTACGGGCGAGCCCAGAAACTGGCCACAAGTAGTTACCTCTGGGAGGGGGATTGACTCTTTTCAACCCCGTGCCCTTTTTGCACCTTTGTTACTATGCCCTCCGTGTGTTACCTATTTTTCGAAATTAAGTCTCTGTTAAAATAGAGATTCTCCTGAAAAGGGGAAACTTAAGAGCCAGATGATCACCTTCTGAGAGATGATGGCCCTGATGAGAGGAGCAAGCCCCTTGAAGAATGGACCCCGTGCGGGGGTCTCCTTGGAGCACTCTGAGTGGCAGCATGGCCACCTTGTTGGTCAGTCTCCCTGCATGTCCTCCCCCCAGAAGGTCACCTGACTCTGAAGGGTGTTGGGTGGGAAGTGTGTGAGTTGTGTCAGAGGCGGCCTCGCCCAGGGATCTGAACCTTCAGAGCCTGTCCTGATACCCATCGTGTCATGTGAAAGTTTTAGCAGGTCCCTCTGGCTACAGTGGAACAACGGCTGGAGCAGGGTGATGACGAAGGAAGATAAAACGTCGTCCTGGCAAGAGAGGATAGGACTTTGTCCAGGGAGGCAGCAGAGAGAAGTGGTGGAATTCCGGGTTTACGTTTGTAGGGCGAGTTGACAGGATTTGCTGATGGTGTGTGAAGTCAAAGGCGGCTGCAGTTTTGGCCTAGGCAACCGGAGGGGTGCAGTTGGGCAAGACTGGGTGGGGCGTGTCTGACCACGTGGGCTCAAGTACGGGACACCCAGGCTGGAGGGAGGTGAGCAGGGTTAGGTCTCATTGTCTTTTGCAGGGAAATGTGGTCCTGGAGCCAGCAACTCCTCCAGAGATTTTAGTCTGACTGCTGTTTGACAAGGAAATCCTTATGCCGGGACTGTGGCTCCTGAGGCGCCTTTGGCCTCTTCCCAGTTTGGCCAGTTCTGTAAACCTAGCCTGGAAGCCCGAGGGGAGAGGCAGCAGTGAGCCCAAAAAGGGAAGTCTCCTGCCTCCCTGGGCCCTGCTGGCCTGCTATTCAATGGTAAGGGTGGCTGAGCCCACAGAATGACTCCCAGATCGACAGCCTGGACGCCTGGCTTTGCCAAACTCCGTCATCTTGGGAGAAAATCACTCTGTTCTGTGTTTCCTTTTTTCTTCTTTTCTTTCTTTCTTTCTCTCTCTCTTTTTTTTTAATAAACTTTGTATCTGCTTCCTTTTGAGTTTAAAGAAAAAGAAAGGGGTTTACTAATCCACATGAATGCTAAGGTTTCTTATGGCTTTGAAATATTGGGGTACTCGAGACTGGGGCCCTAAATCTTCAGTATGTGCCCTTAGGATAAGTTTGTGTTTCTGCCAAAGGAACTTGCCTGTCCTCTTGCCAGAGGGAGGCACACCTGCCCTGCCCGCGTCTCTAGGGTCTTAGCAGAGATCAGATGATCCACACTGGATGTAAGAGGGCTTTGAAAAGTGCCAAACAGATGCCCAGAGGCTTACTGCTAGGATTGTACAGGGTCTCTCAGACAAACAAGACGGAGAACTTCAAACTCTGAAAGCAGAATGTGAAGGGCTTCCTGTTGCTTAATCAAACGAAATGACCCAGAATATAAACTGAGATTAACATACACCTTCTAGATTAGGGCTAATCAGGGCCAGGCTGAGCAGATGCAGGGACAATCCCAGCCTGATTACTGTGCCTCCGCATTTAATCATCTCTCCTCCAAGGGCAGGAGGCCGACTTAGCTCATGCTGGCCTGCAAGCCGCCAGTCCCCTCCCCCTTCCCCTTCCGTGGACAGAAAGGGTCAGAGCTGCTGAGACGGTTTAATCTAATCCCATGCCAAAATGGCTGTGTGTGTGAGAGAGAGATTCTGAAATTCTAAAATCCCCACAGTAGGATGGTAATGCACTGATTTAAGGTGGAACCGCATGTAGAAAATAATGGAATTGGGATTTTGAGGCATTTGGGGTTATGGAATGACCCTGCATGTGAAATTCTGAAAAGCTCTGAAAAGCTTTTCGGGTATGTGGTTGCTGTTCCCAGTCATTCACTCTCGAGACAGCCTTGTGGAGGGGGGCATTCCATCACCCAGTTGCAGAGGCCAGAGTTATTCCTCCCGATTGTGAGGTGAGATACAGAAGACAAAATCTTTATAAATGAGCCCCTCTTTGGATGAGTCCTGAATGCAGTCGTGTTTACATTACTGTTCTGTTGACTGGGAGCTCCTGGCTCCAAAACCGCCTAATCACCCTAGGACGGGGCCACTCCAGTCACCCTGTCTCCGGGAGGGACACCTGTGCGAGCTTCGAAGGCAAGTTTCTCTGTGAGTGCAGAAAACATTCATTGAGCCCCTGCTGATTGCTGAGGACTCTGAGTCCCTTACAGAGTTGACCGTCTTCTTGAAGACATGCACACAGTGCCTGTGAATGCGAGTGCTGCCTCCACGGAGGCCTGTACAGAGTGCACAGGACCTCAGGAGAGAGGCTAAGGCCAGGGAGGAGAGACCGGCTGCCATGGAAGGAAGAATAGGAGCCCATTCAAGGAACAAGTCCAGGGCCATCACTGCAGGCACAAGGCATGCTTGTGTGCAGGTTGTGGAGGCCCAGTCAAGTGGTTCACCTGATGGGAGTGTACGGCGGGGGGAGAGGAGGGCTGGATACGTGGTCACTCGGCCTGAATGGAACAACAGGAGCTGACGTGAAGGGTTTAAATCCTGCAAAGAGATTTGGACCTCATGTCCCTTGGGCCAGTGAAGAATTGTGAAAGAAGGCAACAAGATCCATTTACGTTCAAAAGATTGTTCTAGCTAGAACAGTGGCAGCGAATACATATTTTTGCGTTCACACCTTTTTCCGTTTTATTCTGGAGCCAATCTCCCACAATACTAAAACTTTTAACGACAGTGTTGGACATGGATCCACATCCTAGGAAACAAAAACTTATCATAAATCAGAGATTTAACTCGGACAATTCTTGAAATCCCCACTGCCCGCCTTCTGATCCCGGCATGATTGTTCGCGGTGAGGAGGTCTCCTTGCTCAAAGTGACCCCTGCGTTTATGAAGTGTGCGGCTTGTTCCCCAAGTTTGCAGCTTTTGGAACTGACTCAAGCTCAGAAGCAAGAGTAGAGAAATAAGACTGATCTTTGCTTCTAGTTTCAGTTGCTGTTTGCCAGCATGTGGCTTCTTTGCAGGATGACACAGGTGTCCTGGCTTGGCCAGCGCGCATTTGGGGTCACTTCATTAGTTTTGCCCGTTGTGACCAGAAGAGAGGACGAAGGCGATGACGATCGTGAATACACTGGAGCGATGGAAGGGGCCGTATGGTCTTCACACATACTCAGGCCGGGCCTGGAGTCTAGAAGCAGAGGGCCCAGCTGCACATGGCTGAGGCCAGTAATAGGCTCCCTTGGCCTATTGCCCTTCTGACACATCTGGTACCTCACACCGTGGGAAACAGAACATGAACCAGAGCCACCCCTGGCCTTGAAGTAGCCCTCTGTCAAACAGCAAGGTCTATCCACGCGCACTGACCGGGCCATGCCAGAATACGCACTAGTGTCCTGGTGCTTGCTGAGAGTCCAGAGGAGGCCACTCTCAAGTATCGACTGGGGCTGGGATGGGGCCAGCTTCCGAGAGGAGGCACCACTGAGCTGGTTTTTAAAGGGGAAGGTGTGGGGAGTGAGGGAGTTCCCAGTGGTGAACAACTTGAGCAAAGACTTAGAGGAAGGAGCGTGCCGCTGGGCAGCAAATGAGAGTGGCCGGGGTAGCGCCCGAGCACGGAGTACCTGTGTTGGAGAGCGTGAGCCTGCAGAGCTAGGCCAGGGCAGAGCATGAGATGTCTTGAATGCCATGTCCAACAGGAGCATTTTTTTAATAGGCTTTGGGAACCTTTTGAACGTGGAGTTTGAAGAGTTTGAGATAGAGGATTGATGTGGGATGGGAAGCTGTCTCAGGTGGCAGGGAGGGGGAACTGAAAGAGGACTGGGTAGAGACAGTTTTTTGTGTTTTTTTAATGTTTATTTAGCTAGTCTACAGGACAATATGGGTTTCAGCAGTAGAGTTTAGTGATTCATCATTAAATGTAACACCCAGTGCCCATCACAACAAGTGCCCTCCTTAGTACCCATCACCCATCTAGCCCATCCCCCTGCCCACCTCCCTCCATCAACCCATAGTTTGTTCTCTGTCAGTAAAAGTCTCTTGCGGTTTGTTAACCCCTCTTCTCTTTCCCCCCTCTTCCCATTTATTCATCTGGTGTGTTTCTTAAATTCCACATGTGGGTGAAATCATACGGTGTCTGTCTTTCCCTGATTGACTTTTTTTCTCTTAGCACAATACATTCTGGGTCCATCCACATTGTTGCAGATGGCTGGTTAGACACATTTAAGAGCTGTATGCGAAGTCTAGATGAGGGAAAGTGAGCCCCACAGCGTTCTGGGGTCAGTGCCTGGCCCTCAGCCTGCTCTTCTTTCAGCCTAGCGTGCAAGTGTAGGCTGGCCTCTTCTGTGGGAGCTCCATTCCTGTTAACGCACAGCAGCCTGAGCCCAGATTTCCTAAAATGACTGTCACCAAGCAAAACATCAAGCCCATTTCATGTTGTATCATCAAATACGGATGTCTAAACTGGCAAGATTTTCCTCTAGAACACAGAACATTGTTAAAATAACATTTTATTTGGGTTTTTTGTGTTTTTTTTGGCATTAGAAAATATTCTGATAAAACATCCCTTTTTAAAATTTTTATTTTCAAAAAAGTGATATGGTTTTAAATGTCAATAAAAGGGAGGCAACCTTTCATGCTCTTTCTGGTGTCTTTACTGCTCTAAATAATAGTCATCTCATTAGTCCTTGAGTTGAGACATG